ACTTTGGTAGGCTAGAAGAGAAGAAGCAGCAGTTGATAAGTAAAATAGAGGAGTTAGATGCTAAGGAAGAAAGTGGATGTTTTCGGGACCGAGATAAAGAAATGAGGTGGGAGTTAAAGAAGAGCCTGGAGGACATAATCTTCAAAGAAGAAGTAAGTTGGAGACAAAAATCTAGACACCATATCTAAGCTGGTTTATGATGGGACAGTTTTAACACAACAACAAGAGATTGTCGGGGCTTTTGTGGAACACTTTAAATCCATCTCTAGAAAGCCTCTGCAGAAGAGATTAAGGATTGAAGGGTTGGATTGGCCTAAGCTCCCTAATGAGTTGATGTTGTGGTTGGAAAGAGAGTTTGACTTGGAAGAAATCAGAGAAGCCATTTTCTCTATGGATAGATCCAACGCCCGGGCCCTGATGGCTTCACGATGGCCTTTTATCAAGATTGGTGGGAGATAAATAAGGCTGGCATTCAAGCAGTGTTCTGGGAATTCTTTGAAAGAGGTGTGATAAACCCAGGTCTGAATTCTAAAGCCATTTTCTCTATGGATAGATCCAACGCCCGGGCCCTGATGGCTTCACGATGGCCTTTTATCAAGATTGGTGGGAGATAAATAAGGCTGACATTCAAGCAGTGTTCTTGGAATTCTTTGAAAGAGGTGTGATAAACCCAGGTCTGAATTCTACTTTTATTGCTTTAATACCGAAGAAGGTTGGGGCTTCTCATCCTAAAGAGTTCAAACCCATCAGTTTGGTTAACAGCCTCTACAAGATCATTCTAAGTTGTTATCCAGAAGAATTAGAGAGGTGTTCCCCTCTATCATCTCCCATAACCAAGGTGCCTTCATGAGGAATAGACAAATTGTGGACCAAATCTTAATTGCAAATGAGAGTGTGGAAGACTACAGAAAGGGCTAGTGTGCAAATGAGAGTGTGGAAGACTACAGAAAGGGCTAGTGTGCAAATGAGAGTGGAAGACTACAGAAAGGGCTAGTGTGTAAGTTGGACTTGGAGAAGGCATATGATCTGGTTGATTGGTCTCTGTTGTTGGAAGTGCTAGAGTCTTGTGGTTTTGGGCAGAGGTGGTGCAAGTGGATTAAAGGGTGCATTAGGACTTGCCATTATTCTGTGTTAGTAAATGGCAAGGTGGTGGATCACTTTCCAACTATGCGGGGTATTAGGCAAGGGGACCCTCTCTCCCCTTTTCTCTTTACCCTAATTGTTGAAGTTCTAGGGAGGCTTATTGAGAGGGCAGACTCTAGAAATCTGATAAGTGGTTGGAGAGTGGGGAGGGATAGGGTTCTGGTTACTCACCTACAATTTGTAGATGACACAATTCTGTTTTGTGATGGAGAGGAGATTAGCTGGGTGTGCAATATGAAGATGGCGATTAGGGTCGTTTGAACAAATGACCAACCTCAAGGTAAATCTGGGTAAGAGTTGTGTGATTGGTATTAATATTAGTGAGGGAGAGGTGGAGGAAAGGGCTCGAGTGTTGGGATGTGAGATAACTCATTGGCCATTGAAGTACTTAGGGCTTCCTTTGGGAGACAATCCCAGAAAAAAGGAGCTTTTGGAATCCGGTGATTGACAGGTTCACTAAAAGTCTAGCTTCCTGGAAGAAGAACTACTTGTCTCTGGGGGGCAGGATAACACTGATTTAAGTCAACTTTGGCAAACCTTCCAGTATATTTCTTGTCGGTGTTCAGAATCCTAGAAGGAGTTTGTAGGGAGTTGGAAAATTTAATGAGGGACTTTTTATGGGAACCTGGGGAGGAGAGAAAGGACCATAGAGTTAGGTGGGATCTAGTTACAAGACCTAAAAGTGAAGGGGGACTGGGGCTGGGAAATCTGTGGAAGAAGAATGAAGCTCTTTTAGGGAAATGGTTATGGAGATGGTCCAAAGAAAAAGAAAATTTGTGGGCTAAAATAACCCTAAGTATTTCTGGGCAAGAGGCAGATGATTGGGATCCGGGACTATCATCTAGGGCTTCAAGAGCCTCCCCTTGGAAGTCGATTCATGCTGTCCTGTTGTCTTTTATTTCATTTATCAGGTACAATCTTGGTTCTGGTTTGTCTGTACTTTTTTGGGAACACACTTGGTGGGGGATTTTCCCTTGAAAGAGCAGTTTCCCTCTTTGTTTGCTCTGTCTACGTTTAAAAATGAACCAGTAGCAACATTTGCTAACTTGTCTAATTCCGCTACTGGTTGGAACTTGGGTCTCAGAAGGGCTTTCAGAGATTCTGAGTTGGAACCCATTTCAAATCTGCTTAAAATCTTGGATGAAGTAGTCCTTGAACCTTCCATTGTGGACTCCAGGGTGTGGTCTCTTGTTCCCTCGGGTATCTTCTCCTGCTCCTCCTTCTTCAAAGCATTGACACAGTCTAGTCCGGTACC